TTTAAGCAAAGAGCTTGCATCGTCTTCTAAATTTGTTGTAAAAGATCTTCTTGACACCTCCAAGTGAGAAGACAAAAAGCAAATGGTGGTGAGATTGATTATTATTATTATTTTGCCAATTTGACAGAGCCACATTGCTAATTGTTTATGTCTCTCAAGTTTACTCTTTTTTGTCAATATCATTAGAGTAAAGCTATTGTGTCTCCTAAATGGAAGCTGGCACCAACGTGATTTGTTTAGACAAGTATGTTCTTTTTTCTCTAATTCTCTATTTGTGATTTGTTTGGTTTGAGGTTTGTTAATGATTTAGAGTCTGAACTGAAGTTTGATTAGTACATCGTAAGTTCGTAACAGTATCTCTATGTTTTGATTTGAGTTTTTTTTTTGCTTAATTAGTTCAATAACGTTCTATTTGAAGTCTCAGATCACATAGTTCATGATTGCTAATGCTTTAGAGTACTGAAGTGTGTTCAAGTATATAGCCACTTTGAAGGATTTGATTGATTTGAAAATAAATGTGACATTGTGACAACATTGTTATACTTGTTTAGGCTTTTATTTGGATTCTTTGATGGTTGATTGTTGATGGTTAAGTGACCTTAGTGTTGTTTATGTTTATCAGATTGGTGGACGAAGATTTGGAAGATGAGTGAGTATGAGACTGAAACTTGGAGTGGTGTTGATAGCATAAGTTTAAGGTGTATTAAAGGATTAGTACCTGGAATATTCCCGATTTGTCAGACCGGTGAGTATGTTTGCTTGGCTTCTCATAAACAGGTTTTGGTGGATCAAAGACGAAGTAAGTTATGGAAAGAAATGTTTTCTGTAAAAGGAAGCTCTTCTCTGCTCATGCCATTCGCAGCACCATAGTACCCTGTAATTAACATGTTTGTGTTGCCTTCTCTACTTTTTTTTTTGTTTATTTTTCAGCTCTTGGATCCTTTAGGGCTTATGCAAAAAATTTCAAGGTTTTATAATCCTTCTGTCACCATAAAGATTATATGATCAAATCTCTTTTTTTACATCAGAGAGAGCTACAAGAATATTCGTCACTAATGAATAGAATTGTTAGGTATACTGGGCCAATTAAGCAATTGTCACTTTCTGCCCATTTAGTAAGAAAAAGGAAAAAAAAACCATACTCACACATTAATGATAAATTTGGTTGTACCGGTTCAATCTCTTTAACCACCGACGTTGACTTGTTACCAATCTTCTTCTCGAGTCCAGTCCGGTGATTATGGTTATCTGTTAATAATGTTAACTTGATAATTTAATCTGTTTATTCGCCTTTTTATCGAATTTCAATTTTTAGAATTTGGAGATGTGGATACTCTGAGAAGAATCGTCATCTATTTATCTAACTAAAAATAAAAGTTAGTATACCACGGCACATAGAAACAACATAATTACTTTAGCAAAAAAAAAAATTAGTATACCACGGCAAGTACTTCATTTTGGTATGCAATTTATATGAGTTTATGTTCTTTGTTCAACTTGTACAACTAAGAGGAGTTTAAAATTAAAATTATATCTATGCCATTTTAAAAATTAAATCGTAACAAGTGATTTTTAACATTAAAAACTTTAAACTTTAATAATTTATTACATTTTCTATTTTCAATTATAATATATAATTTTTTAAAAATTTATTTGATAATAAACTTGTTTTTACACAAATCAATCTTTGTGTAACAAGGAACATTTAGTTCAGGATGACCTATATTGATGCAATAACTAGTGAAACTATTATTTCCTGAATCTTTTCCTATCAAAACTTCTTAAACACCGATATAATGTGGAAATTAATGTGACCAACTAGATTTATATTTTCGATTTCAAGGTTCAACTTCAAAATGACGAAATTTCATTTAGTTCAACTATGAAGGAATCAGGACAACAAGACATCTACATACAACTATGTACAATATCTAGTTGTCAAGGACCCCACAAAAAATAAAATGTTGTAATATAAATTTTTTTAAAGGGTAAAATCGATAATTCATAATGTTATGTTCGCCCTACTTAAATCTAATCGCTAACAATTTCTTCTAAATCTACCACCACATACGTCCAAAAAAAACGCTCAAACGTGCTAGTTGAGTAAACCGTTACTCTGCCTCGTTATGACAGAGTTAAAAAATAACTCTGTCATAAGGATTAACTCTGTCATGTTACGACAGACTTATTTCGCAAAATCTGTCAAGTAACTCTATATCCCTCATTAAGTCTGCTGCCACTACATGTTACTCTTCCGCATAACTCAATTTGTTTTTAACTCTGCCACCACATACGTTAAATCTGTCACGGTGCTATTTTAGTAAACGTAAAGTCATCATAATCTGTCATGTAACTCTGGTTTTTTTTCAACTCTGCCACCACTGTAATTAACTCAATCAAATAACTGTATCGCCTTATTACTCTATCACATAACTTATTCAACCTAATAACTCTAACGTGATAATCTACCAAAACCTATTAACTCTATCGTCACTACAACGATATAGACTTTTGATGTGGAGGGAAATTTTCCCTCTTAAAACTCACTTTCTCTCTTTGACGTGGCAGCATCTTTTAATGGCAGTTTTGTAATAACTTTTTTCCTACAACAACAATTCAAGGGTTATTTGGCCATTAATGATCAACAAATAGTACAAGCTATATAAGTAATAAACACACTTTTATGTGTTATTTGAGTAACTCACCCTTTAATATATAGTAAATATTGACATGTTTAACCGAAAATTAATTAATTAATAGAGTTATAATTTTTGTTAAAAATAATATATGTGGGAAAAAATTAGTGACCAAGTTTTAAATAAATCAATGAATGTCAAACTACAAATCAATGAAGAGTACATGTGTCACAAATATAGAATGTCAAATGTTGCAATGTTAGGCTGAATTAGAAAAAAAAAACTTTTCATATTATGGAAGACCAGGTGATTACTAGCTCTATACGAGCGGGCTTTCGCTTTGAATTTTAAAAAAATTAATGTTTAATATTTTTATTGATCAATTTTGTGTTTGTTAGAGTTATAAATATTTAACTTTTTATACTTTGTATTTCTTCTTTTAAAGTCATAAAAACAAAAAAAAATTCTTCTCATTCTTCCTCTTTTGGTTATTCCAAAACATGATCGGAATCTAAACAACAACAACAAAGTAATGGAATTATGTCAAAATGTCATAACGTATAATCACATCTCTATTAAAAATTAAAAATCTCAATTCAAATTTATTACCTTATCATATCACCAATATCAATTGAATCCCATACTCTTAAGCTACTTGTCGTCGATGTAGTACCCTCAATTCCTTAAGGCGAAACATCTCCTTTTTTGTTCTTTTAATTTTTGATAAAGGATTCTCAAGGCGAAACCTCTTAATGAGCTAGAGACTTTAATATATTTTGGAATGAATATAGATTGTTTTTCTTTTTGTTGAAGAAAACTCCATCGGAATAGAGATAACTTGTCGTGAATTTTCAAAATGACATTAGGAACATGATATTACTTTATTTAGAATTGAATAAAGGTAAAAGCAAAGAAAGACATCATGTTAAGATACGATGAACGGAAATACAAAATCTTTATTCAGGCACAAGTACATAAAGGAAAAGCAAACAGTGGCAGAGCCAGAATTTTTGTTTACAGGGTCATATATATTTAATTATTTTTAATTAGTTATACTATTAAATAATATATTTAAAGTATAAATTGTCAGAATATTTAAAATTTGTTACTTAAAACAAAACAAAGTTATCTATTTTTAAAATTCTTCACTTTCCAAATAAAATATAGTTTTAGTCGTATTAAGTACTTTTTGTTCTCAATTTTTTTTTTATCAAAATGTATAGCATATTGTGTTTATCTAGACATTTTCAAAAATATATGTTACGGAACATTTTTTAAACAAGGTACCAAAAAAAAATTAAAATAGGATATGTCTTAAAGAGAAGAAAAAAAAGAAATATGTAAGAAGATGTTAGAAAGTTGTAGTTAATTTGAACAAAAAAGAAATAAAGATGAAAAACAGAATTAAAGTTAAATGAGAAATGAACATGCATAGGTCAAAAGCATGGTTGGATCACTATCTATGGGGGTCATTATAGAGATTTTAGACAAAATCATCTAGTAATCATTATAAAATTTAGCTAACAATTGGAATTTTAAATTTTTTATGGGGGTCAATTGACCCCCCTCCCAATGCACTAGCCCCGCCACTGAAAGCAAATCAAAGCACGATATTATTATTTCTTGAACTTGTTCTGTAGATCAACGAATTATTTTGGTTTCTTAAGAAAATTGAGATGAAAATGTGACTAGAGTTGAAGAGGATTCAAAATCCACTAGATTATTAGTTCAAGATTTGTTTTTTTCCTATCTCTCTCAATTCTTCTTCAGTTATCCTCTTTCTCTTTTGATACAAATGAACAAACAAGACGGAGAAGAAGGTTAAACAAAAATAAAAGTAAGTTAATTGTTTAAAACCGAGTAATTTAGAAATCATTAGAACATATAGCGAATGTGAGGCTTATTGTATCAACCGATAGGGTTTTAAATAGGGTTTTAAAAAAAAAAAACCGAGTAAGAACTTCCCATGCACATGGCATGAGACTCGTCTTTAACTTCTTTAGCTAAAAGTCTAAAACCATTAGAGTCTTCTTTTTTTTTTTTTTTTTCCAATTAGATTCTTCTTCCTTAACTCCATAAGGCGAAACCTCTTCTTTTTTTTTTGTTAAATGATAGACTATAATATATTTTGGAATGAATATAGGTTGTTTTTTTCTTTTGAAGAAAACTCCATTGGAATAGACATAATTTGTCATGAATTTCCAAAATGACATTAATTAGGAACATGAATCCATTTCTAATAACATAAAAATATTAATTTAGTTAATATTTGATCAAGGTAATTTTAAAAGCCATGACTAACGTCATGCCATGTTATGATATATAAAAGCAATGACTAAAATCATGCCATGTTATGATAAGCGGATAATACAAGATCCTTAATTATTCAGTCTTAGGTATATAATATAAAAGTAATTCAAGCACGATATTATGGTTTTTTGAACTTGGTCTGTAGATCCATGACAATCTTACGGTCAACCTGGAATGCACTTGCAAGAAAACCTGGGTCTATCTGTGGGTTAGACCCAAACACGGTGTCAGCAATAGTGATGACTCCTGGGTTTTGGCTGCTCAGACCAGCTAATGCAACCGCTGGATATTTTCCAACGTTCACTTGAAAATGGATGAGTCCCTCTGGAAACACAAATACATCACCCTCGTAGAGTGTTTTACTGAAAAGGCGATTTTCGGGGTTTGACGTGACAAACCCAACGTAAAGTGTCCCAGTCGCGACATACAAGATCTCGGAGGCACGTGGATGGGTGTGAGGCGGGTTCTGCCCGTTAACCGCATAATCAATACGAGCAACGGAGATTCCAAGAGTGTTTAACCCGGGAAGGTTGTTAACATTGACGGCTGTCACGGTAGACCCAACTGGACTAGTTATGGGTCTTGCATTTTGAAGCCCTGAGAAAAAGAAGTCAGCTGCTGTGACGAGCTTCGGGTCCTTGCAGAACTTTCCATTAACAAAAACTGAAAATAGTAACCAAGAAGAAAGAGTGTTATTAAGATATGAGAAAATTTATTTAAAATATGAGTAAAAATGATTTGAAATAATCATGCACATACCGCCATTTGCTGAGGTGTTGGCGCTGACACAAAAGTCTTGAAGTTGGCTTGGATCAGAAGCAATGGCCAATGGAAGTGTTAAAGCCAAGAGAGAGAGCACTGCAAGAAATGAGAGACTCTTCATTGCCATAAAAGATAGAGAGGAAGGTTTTTTTTTTTTCTTGAATAAGATTGTAGTGAAGAGATAAGAAACTTATGAGACATAGACTTCAATTTATAGATGAGTTTACGTGTTAAACTAATCCAAGAAACTAAATAATGAACTTGATATTTGAAATGGTTAAAGTATTTAAATTTTGTTTTCTTCAACACATTATGTTTAATTGAAAATTCAAGTTAATAAAATATATATATATTTCCAACGAAACATGATGCACTTGAAGTTTTATATACATAGTTCAGTAAATTATACGTTTATTGAATGATTACTCGAAGGGAAGGTCAATGTGAACGTGTTGGGGTGTGTTAAAATGTTAGCATCTGATTGTTTCTTAATAATATGATAAGACACTAGGAAAAGTATAGAGATAAGATATAACTAATGTTTTCAGAGAATATTGTACTTTTTCACATAAATCTAAACCCCTATTTCGGTTTTAAAATCCATCGTAGAGCACTAGCCATATGTATATGTGTGTCTCACCGATGAATTCTCCGCTTATATTCATCATTCTGATTTCTTTTTGTTTTCTTTTTTTTTTTGGGTTGCAGTGCATCTTATTATCAAAAGAAACATAACTAGCTATATTATACACACTTTCGAGTAAAACTAAAATGTTTGATAATAAATACACGGTTCTACTTCTACATATTCTTGTTTGAAAAATCGTTAATGCGGAAAATGGAAGAATTTAAACTAGTGGCCAGTGGAACCAAAATATATCATATTATCCACAACCCACACCTTGGCAAAAATGACAGTCATACGATTGTTTTTTTTATAATTTTTATTATTATAAAATATACTAGAGGTTATCTAACGCTACGCGCCAATTTTTTTAGTAGCAAATTTTCACTATGTTTATAAATAAAAATTAAGCTTTATTAGTATTTTAACTAAATAAAATCTTATTATTTGACTTTTGAAATATAGTATTAGCCAAAATATATATGTCAATGATATTTTACATCTATATTGGTATATGTTGATATGAATTTATTTTCAAATAGTTTGTGAGAAGCAATCATATATACGAAATGCCCAAATAGAATACCATAGTTGCTAAATTATAGCTACTATAGGCGACTAATCTACGACTATTTTCATCATTTTTCAATTAGAGACTGATTAGTGTATAATACTCACCGTTTGTTCGGCAAAACATCGCAAATCAGTCGCAAAATTTACCGACTAATTTATTAGTCGCCGAATAAAGTCCCTAATCCGTGCTTTCTTGTAGTATAACGTCCAGAGAGAACTCCACAGTTAAGCATGCAGAGAGAACTCCACAGATAAGCGTGTTTGAGCTAAAACAATTTCAGGATGGGTGACCTTCCGGAAAGTGATTGCCTGAATTGTACAAAACACATAGAAAGATCATGTGGTAATTTGTAGGGTCGGTAAACAAGTCTTTAAATCTTTCCGGACGTAACGAACCGACCGTCGGACATGAGTGAGACCCACGGACCCGAGAGAGGACGTGGGTGCTCACTGGAAGGGGCGGTCGGGGTGTTACAAGTGGTATCAGAGCCGAACCCAGGCGAGTGTGGAGTCAAGAGGGCTTACACCGTCGGGGTGACGGGCTTGGTGTGCAACGAGAACGTTGCAATCTGTTAGTGGAGGTGATTGTAATATCCCGATTTTAGAAATATGGTGGTGCATGTGCAGAGGTTTAAAAGAATTGATTTAGCCACCTATGTCACAAAAGTGGACTTATCTTTTCGGTCAAACGTCCTGAGAGAACTCTATAGTTAAGCGTGCTTGAGCTGGAGCAATTTCAGGATGAGTGACCTTCCGGGAAGTGATTGTCGGAATTATGTGAGTGAGAACAAAACATAGGGAAAGATCATGTGCTGATTTGTAGGTCGGTAAACAAGTCTTTAAAGCCTCCTGGACGTAACGGACCGACCGTCAGATAGGAGTGGGATCCACGGACTCGAGAGAGGACGTGGGTGCTCACTGGAAAGGACGGTCTGGGCGTTACAAAAATTATTAAAAGCTAACCAAACAAATGGTGTTGAAATAATAATAATTTATAAGCCAAAAAAAATCGAACGGTTTACGGTTTTAAACCCAACCGAACCGGAACCAAAATATTTTAAATAATTGTAACTGAGTATGTTGTTGGAAGAAACCGAAACCAAAACAAATCACTTAATTACGGTTCGATTCGATTTTGATAAGGTTTTTTCTGTCCAATCCTAATTTATTACTGCAAAGTGCAAACATAGGTTTATAATATATTTTTATCGATAAAAATTTATAAGAGAGAAATACAACGTATAGAAATATTGTTATAATATCTATAACAATACTAAACACAAACTTGATTAACAAAAATATTCAACATTAATTAAAAAAATATGCAAAAGTCCAATTGTAGAACTGATACTTACCTAGTCAGTTATTATCTGAGAATAGGGCCACCAACTATCAATCGATTTGGACTTTTCCATGTTTGACTAACAAATTAGCTTAATTTTTTTTATCAATTATTTTAGAGAAAACATATATATTCCATAAATTCATAGATGCATATATCAACACCCTATGATTTTAACTTATCTAATCCCCTATATATTACTCCCTCCGTATTTTAATAAGTATCGTTTTACGATTTTCTTTTTTTTTAAAATTAGATGTCGTTTTCAAATTTCTATGCAAAATTTATTACTTTTTAATGTTTTATGATGTCATAAAACATTAAAAAGTAATAAATTTTGCATAGAAATTTGAAAACGACATCCAATTCAAAAAAGTAAAAATTCTAAAACGACACTTATTAAAATACGGAGGGAGTAATAGAGAAACATTTTTTTAAAAAAACCTTACCATCATGTGTTATTAACAAGATTGCCACGCTGATGTGTCGTTCTTACAATGATTTGGTTTCTATTTAGATAATTACCCAAGATTTATTAGACTATTTACAGAATTTGCCATTAGTCTCATACATCCATATATCCCACTAATCAAAAACGAATTTCTAATTAAAAATTCAAAAAAACACACAATCTATACGAGACAAACTTTATTATTTTTATATTAGCAAACACATAACAAATATTACATTTTTTCTATATAAGCATAACAAATAACAAATCTGTATTATCTAATATTAAAATGTAAGACATGCTACATCCAAGCTTAAACTTAAAATCAAACAGACATTTTTTATTTCATAAATCGAGCAAACTAATGGTCTATATATTACTAGATTAGTTACAAATGTGCCATGATATTCTAATTATTTCGTTAATTAACATTAAACATCAGTAATACAAACATCATATCTCTATCTATACATAAAGGATTCGTGTATATGTAGTATATATATATATATATATATATATATTAAATTGATCTAAGGTCTATATTTTTAAATCCAGACTAACATATATATATATATATATATATATATATATATATATATATATATATATATTTAACAACTCAAACATGTAAGCGTATAATTCATGTAAATTAATATATTAGAATATATTTTTATAACTTTTGTAAGTACAAATTTTCCTAGGTTCATAAATCCAAACTACATTTATAAAATTAATTCTCAAAACTAAATCTATCATAAAATCAACAATAAATTAATTTTTCAAATTTTGAAGGCAATCTAAATTTCAAAAATTAAACGGAACCCTACAAAAATATTTTTCTATAAATATATTCTCTGATATCATCTTCATCCTCTCAAATTTACCAAACACACATCTTCTTAGTTTTCGAGCAATCTAAATTTTTTAAATCTTCATCAACTCTTTTACAAAGATGTATATGTGTTTGTTATTTAAGTTGCGTTAGAAAAGAAATTGTCGTGTTTAATTATTTTACGGGTAAAACGAATTCCGATACGAAAAATCGATGATTGGAATATAAAACGTTTTTTTAACATGTTTCATAATACACTAACAGATTTTGGATTCCGGATAATAATACAATAATTTTTATAACTAAAACTACAATGCTCTTCTTTAATTGTCATTTCATCCCGCACATAGTGCGGGTAATTTATCTAGTTTCTTAATAAATCCAAGAACATAATTCATGACAATCCTAAAAAACCCACATAAACTATCAATTGAATCTAAGACCACATGCAACATCACACTAAGTTTCTGCGTTAATTTTCTTTTTATCATTTAAGATTTTTGAACAATGAAAATAGCAAAATACTGTCAATTAATTAATTTTTACCGCGAAATAAGATTTTATATCATTATATATTAGTGACTTTAATATGTCCCTTTTTGGGACAAAATTTATTTTAGTATGCCATTGTGTAGGATTTCACCACTAATTGTTATGTAGTTCTCAATAGTTTTTTCGGAAGAAAAAAATGTAACAATTCATTCACATAGTATTTTTTATATGGTAACTGTAGATTAATGTTGAAATTTACATTTTATTTTCAAAACATTAAAAACTCTGTAAAATGATACTCCGTATGTTTTAAAATATAAAATAATTTAAAAATCTTCTCCCACAAAGAACGGAAAAACAAACGTAGTCGATTAGAAGATAACAATGCATGGAAAAATGAAAAATAGGTATCATTTTACAGACTATGACATCATAGTACACCTTGTGCAAATCACTACAAATACATTTTTTCTAACTTTACCTAACAATGCGATATTTGGCCCTCTATTTTTATGATAGATGTAATTTTCATTGATTTTTTAGTTTGACATTCTAAATTTACAAAATGGTCATTAATAGTTTTCCCACATTTATATTTTTAACCAAAAGTGTGACTTTACTACTTAATTATTTTCGGTTACAAATGTCAATATTTATTACACATTAAACTATAATTTTGAGAAGAACTATTTTTTACTATAATTGGAACTCTCTTAAATAATTCTATTAAACGCATCATGTAACTTTGACAATGTTGGTGTTGTAAGAGAGGCCTTGTAAGCTAGGTAGAAGAAGGTGAAACACTAAACGTCTTTATGATTTTGTTAGAAGATTGTTGATGGGTATTTATTCTTTTGTTATCGATAAAACATA